CCTCAGTTAAAATCTATGAAACTTTCTACCATTTTCAACCCAATTTACTGATTTAGGGATAAAAATAGCAATGGATTTCGGTAGTTTAACCAAATTTTAGTTAAGAACACTTATCCCGTTAGTTTTTTTGAAAATCTCCCAAAACTCGCCTCTTCCCGAGCTCCCATTCGTCAAAAATAAAATCTGGGACGAAGTCCCATTTTCAGATCTTAAACATTTTGTCCAGGTTCGCATTTGCGGACAAAAACTTCGCATTTACAAATGAACAGTACCTCCCATGAACAGTGTTCGCAATTGCAACCAATTTTTTGCAATTGCGAGTGAACATTTGCAATTGCGATTAATGGTTCGCAATTGCGAATGAACAGTACCTCACCAGAAACCAGCATACTCAAACTTCTCCGAAATGATCTGAAACCACCCTAAAACACATCTGGAACCTCCCGGACACAAACCATATATGAATTTTAATCATTAAACATGCTACAGACCTGCTCGCACACTCAAAACACTGAAAAGAGATCGTCTTGACCCGATATTGACCATGGTCAAACTCCCAAATTTCTTAACTTTACTAGTCTCTCAACAATGATCCAAAAATTTAACCAAGCCCCTTGGGACCCGTCAAATCATACCAACAAGTCCTAAAATATCATATAAACTTAGTTGAAACTTCAAATTATATCAAACAATGCTAGAACCATGAATCATACCCCAATTCAAGCTTAATAAAACTAAAAAATTTCAACTTCTACATTCAATGCCGAAACCTATCAAATCACGTCCGATTGACCTCAAATTTTGTACACAAGTCATAAATAACATAACGGACCTATTTAAATTTCCAGAATCTGATTCTGACCCCGATATCAAAAAGTCAACCCCCCGGTCAAACTTCTCAAAATTCAACTTTCTCCATTTCAAGCCTAATTCCACTAGGACCTCCAAATCACAATCCGTACATACTCCTAAGTCCAAAATCACCCAACGGAGCTAACGGAGTCATCAAAATTAAATTCGGGGTCGTTTACACATAAGGCAACATCATGTCAACTTTTCGAACTTAAATTATCCCGATAAGCCATATATCAACTGTAAAGCATAAATTGAGCAATAAATTGGGAAACAGGACTATAATACTCAAAATAACCGGTAGGGTCGTTACATCTATCTAGGCTCACTGCACCAAAAGAATGAAATGATAGATGAATATATTACTTTTTAATAAAAACTGAATGGTTGTAACAGAGTATTATCGTAGTATTATGTGATAAAATGCTCACCCAGAGTGAAACGTTAGTTTTATATACAACTATTATAAGACCAGTAATATTTTATATTTGACACATTGGAGTGTTGCTCAGTTGCAAATGCTAAAATGGATGTGAGGCCATACAATATTGTACAAAAAAAATGAACACATTCACGAGAAGGTTAAAGTAATGCACATCGAAAATAAAATAAAAAATATCGCTTAAGAATATGGAGTAAAAAACGTGTCATGCGTTGATCGCCAAATGTATCAATTCGTAGATGTAAAATCACGATCATAGAAGGTGATAAAAAATGATGAGGTAAGACCTAAAGTTAATTTTAAAAAAATTATTTTGAAGATTTGCGATGACTTGGCAAGAAAATAGGACATAGTGAAAAAAGAATTTACATAAGCGAAACCTCTTAGTCGAGAGATGCATGTTATGTTACTTTTACACTATGAGATATGCATTTCAACTAGTTGTAAGTCTTTAAAGATTTATACATATGTACAAAATACAAAAAAGGTTCTAGTACCTTTTATTTATTTTGCCTAATGTTAGCCTAACATGAGATTATATGAGGTTAACATGATCAGCGGGGGCGCATATAGCCGACCCAAGTTTTTTTTATTCAAGGTTTGGTAGTTGTATTCGATATTTTGTCTTTGCATTAACTTTTCTAACGAAGCGTTATCCCAAGCCACGGTGCATCCACCCCTAATCATCTTAGCCTCTAAGGCATGCATGCGCTCATTGCGACCCTTATTCATGGTGAGCATCTCCTTTATACTTAACCTTCGAGGCTATCAATCCCCAGCAATGCGTGTGACTCAAGCATGAATACGACACTTTCTACTCTCTCTAGCCTTTATTGGCAGCTAATTCACCTACCTCCAACAAGGCAACTTGTTGGGAGTATCATGTGGTGGTGGCTCCGCCGCCTCATCTATAAATTATTGCCAATCTCTCTCTCCTCATGGAAACAACCTCTCTCTTTCTTGCTCGACTCGAGCCGTTCATTCTTTATTTTCTCGATGAACACATTCTCGCGCCCATGCACCACACTAACACGCTCTTTCTGACTTGCCAAAATTTCTTACCATGAGTGCATGATACTCCATCAGTACCTATGCATACTCCCACAACAATGCGGATCTACTCTAGTTTAACCCTTGGCTTCACATTTTATAACCTAGTAAGTATGCTCCGATATCACTTTGTCGCCGACCTAATCATTTACTTGCTTCTCAACACTTAGCCCTACTATCCTATTCATAGATGCAAAGTTCAACCTTCCATAGTGGTGCCTTGACCTTTGTAAAAGCCTCAACAAGCATCCAAGTATGCCTTAGGAGCGACAGAAAGCACCATTAGAACAATTATGGTGTTTAACTAGCCAACAACACTTACGATTCAAAAGAAAAACCAGCAACAAGATTGGGGAATGAAGGGGGATGCCCACCCGATTTATCACACAAAGCTATAAGCACTCACAAGGTTGTAAAAGTGACTTGCCGTTTATAGGCTCACTCGAAGAGTTTAAGAGCACTTAAAAGTTACAGAAAGAAACTACTTAAAGTTTATCATCACCGAACTCAAAACCCTACTTTATACTCCTCCTAGGTTTTTCTAAAATCTTCTGCAACTTGCTGGCTTGTTCAACTTTGTTAGTAGACCTTTGTCCAACATAACCTGAAGTCTTTTATACACATTATGCTCCATCAATCTCTAGATCCTTCTAAAATGCTCTACAACGTTCCATAGTAAAATATATTATATTTATTGTATTGGGCATTATTCACATGCTCATTATGCTCCCTCAACTGTTATTAATCACCAAGACTCTAGTAATCATAGGCTACAATGTTCTTCCATGCTCCGCAAAGCTCAGATGCCCGTCTACCATTCACATGCGTCTTGCCATCCTTACGAGTTAGGCACCAGGTAAGCCCCCAACCCCTTTTCTTGGCGTCTTGCTTCCTGCATATGCCTTGACCTCCTGTGTGCCCGTGCCCATGCCTTGACATGCCTTGTGCCAAGGCATCCTTTGCTCCTCTCCTTTCACACGCCTAAACTTTGGCTATCTTACGACCTTCGTGGAATCCACAAAATTATGATGTCAGAATGTTACACTTAATTGAAGATACAAAAAATGTTAGTTGTTTACATGATTGAGTGAATAACATAGGCGAAGTATTGTCATTGCCAACATGCGCTCTACATAGACAGTCACTCGGAGATACAACACTTCGCCTATTAAATATTCTGATCCTAATTCTTCTTACCTTCGAAGATCATCTTTGTGCAAAGCACGTCTAAAGCGCGTGTCGAAGAATATCATTCTTGAAGCCTAGCTTGCTTTAAGATTCAACTCCTATGGCAACTTCACTCAAATAACAATGTTGTCAAACGTTTGCCCCTTTATCTCATATTTTATGCATCGTTTCAGGCATTGCATACCTAGATGCCACTACAAACCACAACAATACACATTCTACCTTGAAGATACTTGCACCAAAAAATTTCAAAAAGCAAAAATCATGCTTCATCGAAGGGATGAGAGGACAGAGGCACTTGGCGTCCCATCCAGCCACGTATTGGGTCGTGCAAATATAATTAAGAATATGAAAGTGAAGTGTAGAATATTGATATAGAATGAAACGCATTACCTACATAATAATACCCATAAGTAAAAATACACTAAAGGAAAACTTATGACAACAGACGTTGAGAAGGCATTATCCTCGACTCTCATAAATATTTTCAGTGGCACGTCAGATACGGCCATTGTCTACGCTTACTTGTGGTACATTCCCTCGTATTGTACATATGATGACATTTTGACTTCAAATGGAAGATTGACACATCAAATGGCCGAATATCAATGCATAGATAGCACACACGTCTCCGATATGTCTCCAATTGTATGAAATCAATTTATGAACGTATGAGGAGTTATTACTATGTCACATTATATCACATGCTACAAGGATTATGTATTCACTATGTTCTTTTCATTGTCCTTTTAAGATGCGGTTTAGTACAATTACACCTTTATCTTCGACTTACAAGTTCAATAGTTGACACTAACGAGCTTTCTTGTTGATCTTCATTAGCACATTTCATTGATGGTTAGCCAAAATGCATTATCGTTCCTGTTTGTGTAAGCTTGTGCCCACATTAATCTATTGTAATTTCTTAATCAGCTCTATGATTATGATTATATGTATTTTGGAGATGTATGGTTTGCATAACGTCCGAAGAAGAGAATCATGTTACATGACTAAGTTTGTGATCCACATATTGAGTTGTCAATATGTATATCTCACACATGTAATAGCTAAAACAACTTTATAATTAATAGATGCTATAAGATATTATTAATGTTACACTCGTGGCCTCTTGGCCATATTCCATAATTTTAGGTTATGATACATTTTGAAGTCCTTATTTCAAGTGGATATAACTAAAAAATCCTTTACCTTAATTGAGGTCACTAATTATATCCTAATATTTGCTCATAATTGTACCTTCACAATAAAATCTAAAAAGTCAATTAACAATTAATGATGCTCTAATCCTTCAAAAGGACACCAAATATAAGATAGCAAGACTACTTAGCAAAATAAAAACAAAAAGTTGAAGGAGAGCGGATACAAGATCATTTTATCATAATCCTTGCGTCAGTCCAACTTTTAATTGTTGAGTATGATGTACCAAAAACTTCAAGGGACATTTTTCCAATACACCCGATCAGCAAAGTTCCATAAAAATAGGTGCACTTGAAAAAGATACTAATGGAATTTAACTAAATTACATAGCTTCTACGAAGTTCTAACTGTTCTATACATTAGTGTATATAGAATTAAGAGAAAAATCAACATAGGGGGATAGAGGGGGACTCCGAGGATCTGCGGACGCGGGCAGATGTACCTTGAAATTCTCCAAAAACATAAATGACTGCAACTAAGTATGAGGTTGGTACGAGAAACCTGGATCTGCACACAAAAAATATGTGCAGGAAAGGGCGTGAGTACACCACAGCGGTACTCAATAAGTGCAAAGCCTAACCTCGGTAGAGTAGTGACGAGGTCAGGTCAGGCCCACTGGTATATAATAAATAAAGCGGGAGAATATAATAATATAATAAGAGACTAGAATTTAACAAAAAGAAAACACAGCGAAATAACAGTACAACACACAGGGTTAAACAGTAGGGAATCTCCCGAGATACCATCTCGTAGTCCCAAAATAAATATGCAGGGAGAACTCCCGAGGTGCCGCCTCGTAATCTCAAAAGTAAATATACAGGGAGAACTCCTGAGGTACCGCCTGGTAGTCTCACTCCCAAGGTACCGCCTCGTAATCTCAAAAGTAAATGTGCAAGGAGAACTCCAGAGGAACCGCCTCGTAGTCTCAAATGTAAACACACAGCTCAAACCGATAAATACCACAGTTAACAGCAAGAGTTCTACAGTTAAGACTGAAAAAGAACAAGGAAAAGCAAGAAATCAACTAGGCATGCTTCACAGAGTTCAAATAAGCAGTTAAAGCACGTAGACATGCAATATTAGACTAAACGGGATAACTACACATATTGGAATAGCTCAAATAAGAATGAAAACAATCTAATAACTCAATTTAAAAGGAAAACACAACTTGATACTCAGTAAAAATCGGGTTTTACAATAATATAGCACGTGTACGTTCTCGTCACCTCATGTACACGGCGCTCAAATATCACAACAGTACCAGGGGATTTCCTCTACACAAGGTTAGACAAGTCACTTACCTCGGTAACAATGCCATTTTCGCGAATATCCGACTTCGAATGGACCAAATCTAGCCAAAATCAAATTCATACCATAAATACAACTATAAGAAACTAATCTAATTAATGAAATCAAAGCTAAAGCAAGAAATTAGAAAATCACCCCAAAAAGTCTCCCCGGGACCACGTCTTAGAGTCGGGTAAAAGTCACAAAATATGAACATCCATTCACTCACGAATTCACTCGTACCAAAATTATCCAAATCCGATGTCAAAATCCCAATCAAAATCCAAAATCTTAGTTGAAGAACTTCTTCCCATTTTTCACCAATTTTCAACCCAAATCCGAAATTAAATGATGAAATTAATGATAGATTAGTGGGATATGACCAAAATCAAGTGTAGAATCATTACCCAATCGATGTCTCTGAAAATCCCTCGAAATCTCGTCCAAATCCGAGCTCCCAAACTAATGTTTTTACAAATAAAAATGGCTAAACCCTCATTTTTGAATCTTTATATCTGCCTAATTAATTCCTTCTTCACGAACACGGTTAAAGCCTTGCGTTCGCGTTGAACAAAAAAATATTGACCAGAATTTCATCTTTCGCGAACGCGAACGCTTACCTTTCACTTGCGGACCCTATGCAAACGCGGGATCCTCTTCCCGAATGCGTAGGCTTAAATGCCTGAAGCTCCATCTGCCCGGTCCTCACCGCGAACGCGAGGAACATGTCGAGAACGCGTAGCCTCAGGGTTCCACATCTTCGCGAATGCGGGAACCACATCGCGAACGCAAAGCGTAACTCATATGGCCTTCTCATATGCCTTACGCGAATGCGAGAACTCCCTCACGAATGTGATGAAGAAAATGTTTGCAACAAAACAGCAGAAAATCTGCTATCCTCCAAAGTCCAAAAGTGATCTGTTAAGCATCCGGAACTCACCCGATGCCCCCCGGGACCTCAACCAAACATACCAACCAATCCTAAAACATCATACAAACTTAGTCGAGCCCTCAAACCACATCAAACAACTCTAAAATCACGAATCGCCCTCCAATTCAAACCTAAAGAACTTGAAACTTCAAATTTCCACAACCGATGCCGAAACCTATCAAACCACGTCCGATTGACCCCGAATTTTGTACACAAGTCATATTCAACATTACGGACCTACTCCAACTTCCGGTATCGAAATCCAACCCTGATATCAAAAATTCCACTACCGGTCCAAATCTCCAAAAATTCGACTTTCGCCATTTCAAGACTAAATAAGCTACGGACCTCCAAAACACAATCCGGACACGTCCCTAAGCCCAAATTCACCCAACGGAGCTAACAAAATTGATGGAACTTCATTCGGGAGTTGTCTTCACACAGTTCTGACTACGATCCAAATACTAAGTCTAAGTATCCCAAAACACTCCAAAAATTAAAATAAAACCTCCTGGTAAGTCACAATAGCAGAAATAGATACGGGGGAAGCAATAAATAGGGGTTCGGGGCTATAACTCTCAAAACGACCAGCCGGGTCGTTACATCCTTCCCCTCTTAAAACAATCATTCGTCCTCAAACAAGCATAAAGACATACCTGAAGTGGTGAAAAAAATTAGGATAACGGCTCTGCATATCATGCTCGGTCTCCCAAGTCGCCTCCTCGACCGGCTGATCCCTCCACTGAACCTTCACGAAAGCAATATTCTTTGACCTCAGCTTTCGAACCTGCCTGTCCAAAATAGCCACTGGCTCCTCAACATAAGATAGATCCTTGTCCAACTGGACTGAGCTGAAATCCAACACATGAGCCGCATCGCCATGATACTTCCGGAGCGTAGAAACATGGAAGAATGAATGGACCCCTGCAAGATTGGGAGGCAAGGCAAGCTCATAAGCAACCTCCCCAACACGCCGCAATACCTCAAAAGAATCAATGTACCTTGGGCTCAGCTTGCCCTTCTTTTCGAACCTCAAAATGCCCTTCATAGGCCATACCCAGAGCAAGACCCGCTCTCCAACCATGAATGCTACATCGCGTACCTTTCGGTCTGCATAAATCTTCTGTCTGGACTGGGCTGTGCGAAGTCGATCCTGAATCACCTTCACCTTATCCAGGGCATCTTGGACCAAGTCTGTACCCAATAATCTGGCCTCGCCCGGCTCTAACCAACCCATTGGGGACCGACACCGCCTACCATACAGAGCCTTATACGGTGCCATCTGGATGCTCGACTAATAGCTGCTGTTGTAGGCAAATTTTGCAAGTGGAAAGAACTGGTCCCATGACCCTCCAAACTCCATCACACACGCACGGAGCATATCCTCTAATATCTTCATAGTGCGCTCGGACAGTCCGTCCGTCTGATGGTGAAATGATGTGCTCAGCTCCACTCTTCTACCCAACTCATGTTGTACGGCTCTCCATGACCATGATATAAATTGCGTACCCCGGTCAGAGATAATAGATACTGGTACATCATGAAGCCTGATGATCTAACAGATATAAATTCGAGCCAACTGCTAGGAAGAATAGGTAGTCATCACAGGAATGAAATGAGCTGACTTGGCCAGCCTATCCACAATCACCCAAACTGCATCAACCCTCCGCTGAGTCCGTGGGAGTCCAACAACGAAATCCATAGTGATCCGCTCCCATTTCCACTCCGGAATCTCTAACTTCTGAAGCAACCCACCCGGTCGTTGATGCTCATACTTCACTTGCTGGCAATTTAGGAACCGAGTCACATACTTCACTATGTCCTTCTTCATTCTCCTCCACCAGTAATGCTGCCTCAAGTCTTGATACATCTTCACGGCACCCGGATGAATGGAGTACTATGAGCTATGAGCCTCCTGAAGAATCAACTCACGCAAACCATCTACATTAGGCACACAAAGCCTGCCCTACATCCTCAATACGCCATCATCCCCAATAGTGACCTCCTTAGCATCACCGTGCTGGACCATGTCCTTAAGGACAAGCAGGTGGGGGTCATCATACTAACGCTCCCTGATACGATCATAAAGAGAAGACCGAGAGACCACACAAGCCAACACTCGACTCGGCTCCGAAATATCCAATCTCACAAATTGGCTGGCTAAGGTCTGAACATCCAATGCTAAGGGTCTCTCTGCTGCTGGAAGATATGCTAAACTCCCCAAACTCTCCGCTCGGTGACTCAATGCATCGGCCACCACATTGGCCTTCCCCGGGTGGTACAAAATGGTGATATCATAGTCCTTAAGTAGCTCCAACTACCTCCGCTGACACAAGTTAAGATCCTTTTGCTTGAACAAATGCTGCAAACTCCGATGATCGGTGTAAATCTCACAAGGAACAGTGTACAAATAGTGCCGCTAAATCTTTAGGGCATGAACAATAGCTGCTAACTCAAGGTTGTGAACATAATAGTTTTTCTCATGCACCTTCATATGTCTGGACACATAGGCAATCACCCTACCGTCCTGCATCAACACCGCGCCAAGACCAATTCGCGATGCATCATAATATACAGTGTAAGACCCCAAACCTATAGGCAATACCAATATTGGGGTTGTAGTTAAAGCTGTCTTGAGCTTCTAAAAGCTCTCCTCACACTCCTCTGTCTACCTGAACGGAGCACTCTTCTCGTTCAGCCTAGTCATAGGTGCTGCAATAGATGAGAATCCCTCTACAAAATGACGGTAATACCCCGCCAAACCAAGAAAACTCTGGATCTCCGTAGCTGATGACGGTCTAGGCCAACTCTACACTGCTTCCACCTTCTTTAGATCCACCTGGATCCCATCACTTGATACTACATGACCCAAGAATGCCACTGAGTCTAGCCAAAACTCACACTTTGAAAATTTTGCATATAACTTCTTTTCTCTCAAGGTCTGAAGCACAATCATCAGGTGATGCTCATGATCCTCTTGAGTCCGGGAGTACACCAGAATGTCATCAATAAACACGATAATGAAGGAGTCAAGATAAGGCTGGAACACACTGTGCATCAAATGCATAAAAGCTGTTGGGGCATTGGTCAGCCCAAAAGACATAACAAGAAAATCATAATGACCATACCGAGTCCTGAAAGCAGTCATCGGGATATCTGGCTCCCGAATTTTCAACTGATGATAGCCGGAACGTAAATCAATCTTGAAAAATACCCTGGCACCCTGTAGCTGATCAAATAAATCATCAATACAAGGCAATGGATACCTGTTCTTCACTGTAACTTTGTTCAACTGGCAGTAATTAATGCACATACGCATAGAACAATCCTTTTTCTTCACAAACAAGACAAGAGCACCCCAAGGTGACATACTAGGCCGAATGAAGCCCTTTTCAAGAAATTCTTGTAACTGTTCCTTCAACTCCTTCAACTCAGGAGGAGCCATGCGATACGGAGGAATAGAGATGGGCTGAGGGCCCGGCATAACATCAATGACAAAATCAATATCTCTGTCGGGCGGCATGCCTAGAAGATCAGTTGGAAATACATCTGGAAAGTCCCTAACTACTGGAACTGACTCAACTGTAGGGGTATCAATACTGACATCTCTCACATAAGCTAGATACGCGTCACACCCCTTCTCAACCATTCGTTGAGCTTTAAGAAATAAAATAACTCTGCCGGGAGTATACTCTAAGGTACCTCTCCACTCTAATCGCGGTAGACTGGCATAGCCAGCGTCACAGTCTTAGCGTGATAATCAACAATAGAATAATGGGGTGACAACCAGTACATGCCCAAGATAACATCAAAGTCTACCACACTGAGCAATAATAAATTGGTTGTGGTCTCAAAAACACAAAGAGCAATCAAACACGATCGATACATGCTATCCACAACAAGAGAATATCCTACATGAGTAGACTCATACATAGGGGAACTCAAGAAATATCGAGATACGCCCAAATACGAGGCAAAATAAGAGGACACATAAGAATACGTAGAGCCTGGGTCAAATAATACCGACGCATCTCTATGACAGACTGGAACAATACCTGTAATGACAGAGTCGGAAGCAACTGGCTCTGTACTAGCCGGAAGAACATAATACCTGGCTTGGCCTCGCCCTTTAGGGCGACCTCAACCTCCCCGACCTCCACCTCGAGTTGGCTGAGCAGTGGGGCGGTAGATGGTGCTGGAATCATAGCCTGAGGACCCGATGGAGCATGTGGTGGCTGAGAAGTCTACAGAGGTGCACCCCTCCTAAGTCGGGGGCAATCCCTCACCATATGGCGAGTGTCGCCACACTCAAAACAGCTCCTCGAAGGGCGTGGCTACTATGACTGACTCGGGCCAAGTCTGCTGGACTGGCCGCTAAAAGCACCCCGAGCAGGAGGCACACTAGATACTGGCGGTGCATAATAAGGCTCCTGGGGCCTAGCAGGGGCTGGAACACCACTGGCGGTTGGAAGAGCTGAATGAACGGGGCGACTCACATAACCCCTACCATGGCGAGCTGCTAGGGCATGAGCTCCAGAATAAGAACCAGTCTCTCGAGACCTCTTGGCCTCTCTCTCCTCTCGGTCCCGGGAAAGCATACCTTCCAATCTCCTGGCAATACTCACGACCTGCTAATAAGAGATATCCATCTCCAACTCCATGGCCATACTAATCTGGATACTAGGGTGGAGTCCCTCAATAAATCGTCGAACTCTCTCTCGAACTGTGGAACCAAAGGCCGGTGCATGTCGGGCCAAATCACTGAAGCGGACTGCATACTCTGACACAGTCGTAGCACCCTAGTAGAGCTGCTCATACTCCGTGCGCCATGAGTCCTTGAGGCTCTGAGGGACATACTCTCTCAAAAATATGTCCGAAAACTGAGTCCATGTAAGTGAAGCTGCCTCATCCGGACTACTCAGCTCACAAGCACGCCACTATTGATAGGCTGCTCATCTAAGCTGGAAGGTGGTAAAAGAAACCTCACTCGTCTCTGCTACGCCCATAGTATGGAGAATACGATGACACTCCTCCAGAAAACCCTGAGCATCCTCTGTAGCTAATACGCTGAAGGTAGGTGGGTGGTTTTTCTTGTACCTCTCAAGTCTGAACTACTCCGCCTCTGAAACAGCTGTCCTGGTCTCGTGCTGTACCGGAGCTACCGGCGGCATAGGAATGAACTCTTCGGCCTGATCAACCTGGACCCTCTTCTCAGGAGTACGGGCTGCGGGAGTCTGTGCCCCTCCCCCGGCCTGAGATGCGGTGGGAGCTAATGGAATCAATCCAGCCTGAGCTAAGGTGCTGAACATGCTTATGAACTAGGCTAGAGTCTCATGGAGGGTTGGTGCAGCAATAGGAACCTCTGCTGCGTGCCTTCCAGTGGTACCCAATAAGTGCCAAGCCTAACCTCGGTAGAGTAGTGACGAGGTCAGGTCAGGCCCACTGGTATATAATAAATAAAGCGGGAGAATATAATAATATAATAAGAGACTAGAATTTAACAAAAAGAAAGCACAGCGAAATAACAGTACAACACACAGGGTTAAACAGTAGGGGATCTCCCGAGATACCATCTCGTAGTCTCAAAATAAATATGCAGGGAGAACTCCCGATGTGCCACCTCGTAATCTCAAAAGTAAATATACAGGGAGAACTCCCGAGGTACCGCCTGGTAGTCTCACTCCTAAGGTACCGCCTCGTAGTCTCAAAAGTAAATGTGCAGAGAGAACTTCCGAGGAACCGCCTCGTAGTCTCAAAAGCAAACACACAGCTCAAACCGATAAATACCACAGTTAACAGCAAGAGTTCTATAGTTAAGGCTGATAAAGAATAAGGAAAAGCAGGAAATCAACTAGGCATGCTTCACAAAGTTCAAATAAGCAGTTAAAGCACGTAGACATGCGATATTAGACTAAACGAGATAACTACACATATTGGAATAGATAAAATAAGAATGGAAACAAACTAATACTCATTAAAAATAATATAACTCAATTTAAAAGGAAAAAACAACTTGATAATCAGTAAAACTCGGGTTTTACAACAATATAGCCCGTGTACATACTCGTCACCTCATGTACACGGCGCTCACATATCACAACAGTACCAAATCCTAAGGGGATTTTCCCAACACAAGGTTAGGCAAGCCACTTACCTTGAACCAAGTTCAATCAATTGGTAACAATGCCTTTTCCACGAATATCCGACTCCGAATGTCTCAAATCTAGCCAAAATCAAATTTATACCATAAATACAACTATAAAAAACTAATCTAATTAATGAAATCAAAGCTAAAGCAAGAAATTAAAAAATCGCCCCAAAAAGTCTCCCCGGGCCCACGTCTCGGAGTCGGGTAAAAGTCATAAAATATGAACACACATTCACTCATGAGTTCACTCGTACCAAAAATATCCAAATCCGATGTCAAAATCCTAATCAAAACACAAAATCTTAGTTGAAGAACTTCTTCCCATTTTTCACCAATATTCAATCCAAATCCGAAATTAAATGATGAAATTAACGATAGATTAGTGGGATATGACCAAAATCAAGTGTAGAATCATTACCCAATCGATGTCTCTGAAAATCTCTCGAAATCTCGTCCAAATCCGAGCTTCCAATTAATTCCTTATATCTGCCAAGTTAATTCCTTCTTCGCGAACGCGGTCAAAGCCTCGCATTCGCGTTGAACAAAAAAATGTTGACCAGAATTTCCTCTTTCGCGAACGCGAGTGACCTCTCGCGAACGCGTACCTTTCACTGGCGGAACCTACGTGAATGCGAGACCCTCTTTACGAACGCGTAGGCTTAAATGCCTGAAGCTCCATCTGCCCGTTCCTCTTCGCGAACGCGAGGACCATGTCGCGAGCGTGTAGCTTCAGGGTTCTACATCTTCGCGAATGCGGGAACCACATCGCGAACGTGAAGAGTAACTCAGTAACCTTCCCTGATGCCTTACGCGAACGCGAGAACTCCTTCGCAAACGCGATGAAGAAAATGTCTGCAACAAAACACCAGAAAATCTGCTATCTTCCAATGTCCAAAAGTGATCCGTTAAGCATCCGAAACTCACCCGAACCCCTGGGACCTCAACCAAACATACCAACCAATCCTAAAACACCATACGAATTTAGTCGATCCCTCAAACTACATCAAACAACGCTAAAATCACGAATCACCCTCCAATTCAAACTTAAAGAACTTGAAACTTCAAATTTTCACAACCGATGCTGAAACCTATCAAACCACGTCCGATTGACCCCAAATTTTGCACACAAGTCATATTCAATATTTTGGACCTACTTCAACTTCCGGAATTGAAATCGGAATTCGACCCCGATATCAAAAATTCCACTACCGGTCCAAATCTTTAAAAATTTAATTTTCGCCATTTCAAGCCTAAATAAGCTACGGACCTCCAAAATACAATTCGGACACGCCCCTAAGACCAAAATCACCCTATGGAGCTAACGGAATCGACAAAACTCCATTCCGGAGTCATCTTCATACAGTTCTGACTACGATCTCCGTTTAGGGACTAAGTGTCCCAAAACACTCCAAAACCCAAAACGAAACCTTCATGCAAGTTACAATAGCAGAAATAGATACGGGGGAAGCAATAAATAGGGGTTCGGGACTATAACTCTTAAAATGACCGACCGGGTTGTTACACTAAATCCACCTTTTCTTCTAAAATTTCAATGTGGAACCAAGGTTCCGCAAAAAAGGTACATAGTTATTATCTATCAATCTTTTGTTATGCATACTATTGACATGAACATATTGTCTCGCTAAATAATATTTTCACATGCAAGATAGAAATAAGACGGGCCAAATCATATGGTAAGTGCTAACTAATTTTAAACTATATATTTTCTACTTTTGGAGAACTTTTAGTTGTCAAGTGGATGAAAAGCTATGTAAAGTGTTAAAAAAAAAAAAGGAACAATTAGAACTCTAGAGTACAAGTGTTAGGTGTATGAAGTACATTATGATAAAATTAACTAAGAGATCCATTTTATTTGATACTTTGTTTTATTCTGAACACCATCACATGATTCCCTTCAAGAAATTATGCAAAAACTAACTAAATAAAATCTAAGTTGCGCTCTTACAGGTTTCTCATGTGGAACCATAAAAATGATTCATAATTTATATTTTACATACATCAATAACTATTCATTCATTTGCCCGATACCCAACGTGTACAATCCAAGGCATAGTACCAAGCTTACGTCTCTCTCGATCAAGCTAGGTCTAAGAACAACCTTCCCAAGGAAGGTGTATAAGTTAATCAAATAGAAATTCAATATAGACCCACCTTCCGATTCTCTTCTTGATGTCCAGGCAATATGGAAAGTATCACTTAAATTTCTTCTCAATTAACAATCACACTTTCAAGGTTTTATTAATATATGAGCAACCATCTTTCAAGCTTATAATTCCACCTGTTCTACTTATTAACCAAATATTATAAGAATGATCAGCTGATTTCTTTTTTT